TTAAGCCCGCAGGTACAACAGCCTTCCTCTTTCCAACCAAAATGGACAAAAGAGAAGGTCTGAAATCACATATAAATGATAATGTAAACAGTGGCAGAAGGGAAAAGTGAAATGAGGCTTTGCCTCACTCTGTGCAAGTCGAATGTGCTGTGGGAGACGTTGTGATGGATTTCGATTTAGAGCGTGTAGAGCAGCTGTTTGCTCTGAGCTTGTTTTTGAAGAGAAAAGCAAAGTGTGGACACATGCCACCACAAAAGGCAGCAGCAGTCTATTAAATGGCATTGCTTTCACCCAGGGCTTACTGCTTCTAACCACTGAATCAGAAAAGTCAGGTTTTATAACGTACATTGACATATTCTCCTTTGCACTTTTAATTACAGTCCTCTCTGCGATCTATTTTCCCCATGTTCTTGTTTTCTCCAGAAATGATTTACTGAGCAATGACATCAACTAGCTGTTCAGCCGGTATCTCCGTGTCACCCCTTTTTTGCCCTCCCCCTTTTACAGATCCGACGGACCACATGAAAGGGGATTTTGAGGCACATCAATTCTGCACTCAGACACGGACACATCGGAGCATTTCCCTCCTGCTGTATCCCCATCAGACTCTTACTTTTTATAGACATATGCCACCTCCTATTTTCTATTGCATTATGTACATTATATAAACAGCTGAGAATAGACCAAAAACTCTTTTAGAATTCTAGGAATAAAATGCAGTTTCAAAATCTTTTTGAATTGATCCTTTTTAGTGCGATTACAAGAGCACTGATCTTTATGTCTTCACACTCTAAAAAATGCTGGGTTATTTAATCTACCCAACCGCTGGGTTATGAAATGTTTTACCCATTATGGGTTATTTATATGGATTTTGACTCAACACATGAGTTGCACAAAATAACCCAAATTCCATCTACCCAACATACATCGGTTGACCCAGCACGTGGGTTGTTTGTGCTTCGAACGTCATCACATCGTCACCAGACTCAGAGTCCATCGAATCCACACACCGAGCACTCGTCACAGAGAACCTGACTGTTCATCCAGCGAGGCAAATAAATTAAGGTTTGTGTACACTACATGTCTAATTCACATTGTCTGTATTGCGTTACTTATTAAGGTAATATTTTTATATTGTCGAGGCTAGTTGGTTGGTTTGTCTAACAACGTAGCTAACGTTAGCCATTTAGCCGTTATCATGGAAGCACTGGCTATAAGTAATTGAGCGCGCTCTTTTTTCCCTGAAGCATTTAAAGTGAAATGCGAAGGCAAAACAGAGTGTTAGACTGATTAAAGTATGTAAAAACAGTGAGATAACCTGATATGTCTGACTAAATGCATTTATGTGCATTTATTTAAGTAACTTAATGTGATGACCCACAATAGATAAGAACAAATGTTTAAATATAAAATGGCGGCCTGGCAAACGACAAGGGCCAGTTGAGAAATATGTAATAAAAAGTTTGGGACTGCTGTAGGTGTACAGCAACCACTGCTGTAGACTGTTATACTGACAGTCGTGCCCTGAAGGTTATGCCGTGAGCAGCCACAAACATTCTTGTGAAGCATAGACAATTTACATGTATGCAATTTGTCATATGAATTGTATAGGGAGAGAGGGAGGATTGTCTTCTCTATATTTTGTGATGCTAAATAAAATGGCTGTTTAAAATAAGCTCTTTTTGTGTTTGTTTCAGATCAATTGACAGCTTTATCATTAACACTTCGACAGAGTGGCAGCTGACAGACCTTGTTGAAAGATTTAAAGGTAAGAAATATTTGTTTTCCCATCCACAGCATATCAAGTCTGCATTGCTACTCAAGCCCTTTTCAGACATTAATTCTTATGAAATATAATTTCCTATTTTTTTTCACTAGCTTCCATGAAATGTCAAAGTGACCAATAGATGAATAGGGCACATGTCTTTTGTAGGCTTTCAGTGCTTCATTCTATTTTGTAATAACAAATGATGGAATATGCATGTTTATTACTATATCTTTTTAATTTACATTTAATTACCCATACATTTTTGTTTTGTACTCTGTTGTAAAAACAAATATGTCTTTGTGTTTTCTATTTTTGTCTTTCAGATGAGGGGATTGATGAGGAGAGTTTTATTATTTTAGATGATGAGGAACCATCAACCAGTTGATCCCAAGAGCTGGCCCTAGGCTGAAGTTCATCAAAACATTTAGAGGACTTGTAAGATCAATGTAGACGTCACATCAGAGGCTCAATTCTTCAGTTTTCCACACACTGTTATTATTTTAGTATTTAATAGTTTCATTGGGAAGATGGCTTATACTGTGCAAAAGGCAAATTTCAGGGGGTATCAAGAGTCTTTTTATGCATTTACGTGCAGTACACCATGTAAACTCAGCGTCAACACATTTCCAGTGTAGTGGAATCACAGGTATGCCATTCCACATCGTATTGACACCTATGTCTTCCTACAGATGGGGTTGGGGAACTCGCCCAGAGGCAGCTGCCAGCCTTGCTTTCACCTACAACTTACAAAGTTGGCCGTGGTGCGAAAGTGGTTCGCCACACCATTCAGGAATGCAGCTTGGCCTTCATCGAACATAAGCCCGTAAGTCCTCAAGCACATCTAAATGGGAAACTTTATTCATTTTATCAACATATCTGAGCTCAAGAATGTGTGCACGCACACGTGCATATCCAGGGTTGTTTTACTATACTATAGGCATCAAATATAGCCTGACAGTATTCGTAAAATAGCCGTTCTACAAGCTTACAACATGTTGGTCACTATCAAAGCATCCTGGGCTTCTAGAACACCTCAGCAGTGCCACATGCTGATTACCTCTGTACCACACCGCACTGATGCAGTCATTTGTTCTAAAACAGGCACCAACAAAGTATTGAGTGCAGAAATTAACATATTTATCAGAAGGTTGACACTTTTGTATTTTAACCCATTTGGACCTGACTCTATGAGGTTGACTCTAAAGAAGTCTTCTAAATCTACAAAACATTTGCGGGCCACCTATCTGACCACCTAACCCGGCTACCTATCGGCCAGATAGGATAGTCAGATAGGTGGGCCGCACGCATTTTCTTAGCATGTTTATTGTAATGATAGATCCATCAATCGATTTATGCCTTTTTAGGTCAATTGAGGTCTGAATCCTTTTTTAAATTGTTTTCTGTAATGTGAACTATGCCATAACCATCAAGACTTAATCCAAAAAGGTTTGGAATATTTCGGTATGTGCAATGAAATGACTATTACAGTTCAACTTTTTGAATTAGAGATGCACTGAATCTTTTCCAAATTGTAAAGCTAACTAGACTTTATCATAAAACAATAATTTCTCTAGTGAGGACCAGGAAAATGGTCCTCACAATGTCTATATTTTAATTCTACTATAGTAGTCGGTAGACATTTGGTCCTCACTCGCACTCTCTCACTTGCTCTCTTGTATTTTCTCTTTTTTAGCCTGGAATAAACATGGTGGAGTACCTCCATGAGGCCAAGGCATGCAAACCATACCCCCACAAATGCCAGGAGGAGAGTCTAAAATGGTAAAGTTTATTCAAAGTAGAATACTTGCTTGCAAGTAGAGCTAATGGCTCTTAATAGCAGACTGTTGGCCTGTTGAATGTTCAGCCATTTAATTCGGAATTGTTGTTTTGCTCTGAATGTTTTCCTACCTGAGTGATATGAACTGCACTAGTTCTGCTATATTGTTGATATGAATTAATGTAATAAAGAAAAAATTTCAAAGATTCCATTGTTGTTTTGTTTTTGTATTGTTTAAGTGTTTATTGCATAATATATGCATAAATCTAGCATGTATTCTGTTATAGGTTTGTAGTTTAACAGTTTTATAGCTATGGGTAGTCTATTGCAATTTATTTTCTTAAATTGTACTGTAATGTGTTAGAATTCATCTGGCACATGGGTTAATTTCACCCAGCATTTGGGTACACTATATAACAAATATGTAGTTGAATCAACCCAGAATTGTAATTAATTTGACCCAGCATGTGTGTACACTATATAACAAATATGTAGTTGAATCAACCCAGAATTGTAATTAATTTGACCCAGCATTTGGGTACACTATATAACAAATATGTAGTTAAATCAACCCAGAATTGTAATTAATTTGACCCAGCATTTGGGTACACAATATAACAAATATGTAGTTTAATCAACCCAGAATTGTATTTAATTTGACCCAGCATTTGGGTAAAATATTTAACTCATAATGTTGGGTTAAAAATCACCAACCCATCTTGCTGGGTCAAAATAACTACTGTTGGACTGGTGAAATATTGATCCAGCGGTTGGGTTATAAAACAACCCAAGTTGTGTTATTTTTAACCCATCATTTTTAAGAGTGCAGCCTTATCTTACACGATTGGGTCATTCCAAGAAATGGGTGCCGTATCCGTTTTTAAAAGGTGATTTTTAAAGCAAATTTCTTTATAAAAATAAACATTCAATCAGATGAAGAATGTTAATAAATTGCATTTTGCCATATTAAGCCATTAAAAAATAGTCAGAAATTTGCTATACGCAATCATAGATTAATCGTTTAGGATTGCAAACCTAACAAAATATAGGCTGAAAAATGTAATAAAGTCAAAAAAGAGATAACGTCTTGAAAGAATGGTGTCATCATCAATAAAATGTAAAGTAAAACATGTTTATCTATGTATCTAATCTCTCTATAATATACTTGAAAAAATTAGGCTTCTCATCGTTGAAGTCATTGTTTACACATGTTCATGAGGGATAAGGCTCCTTTTTTATAGAATGACCCAATCATGTCCGTATTTGTTCCTCTACACTTATTTTCCATGGACACTTAAACTAATAAATGGGCAACATAAATAGATAGATACATACTTTGCTGTACATTTTATCGTCAATATCCCCAGCAGAGCTTCCCTCACAAGATGTGAAATCAATACGCTTTAGAGCTCTAAGATCCTCGTCCCACGCAAACCTGCCGTATTATGTTTTTATTTCGGCTAGAGGAGAGTCGACGGAAACGCATCGACGCACACAAGACTCATGGTACATATTTCGTATCCTTTTTTTGGAGAGACGCACAACGGAAAGTCCGTTCACTCTGTCACTGACAGCATTCTTACCTTGTTCTCTCAGAACGAAACATATTGTCTTTTATTGAACGGGAATTTACAGCTTCGCACAGAGCAATGATCTAAGGTGACTTTATGAATTCATACAGTAAAACCAAAGGGACAGCGAAATATTTTGTAGCAGATATTGTGTTTTAAAAGCTGCGCGCGGAGATTCGGACAAGAAAGTTCGCGCGGTCCTGAACAGCTCATGATTCAACTGAAAGATGCGCGCGGACTCGTACTATGAGGTGCGGTGTACAGTACGACTGTTTTAAAGCTGTACTGTGTTACAGTCAGTAATTTTACCGGCTTTTATCAGATATATTTGGCATTAGTCAAGTTGGATATCTGTTGCTCGAGAAATGACTCACGTTTAGCAGGTTCATTGTTTCGTTGCTCGTGTTCATCCTTAGAAATCAGAGGTATTGTTGTTCGCCGAGTTTACCGGCGCCTCACGGGCTTCTGCAATGGAGACTCGGATTCAAACCGTTTGACATTTCTGTGGAAAGCCAGTCGAATGCCAAATTGTCACTGAATCAAATCGAATGAGCCGGACACCTGGATTACTGAGTCGCAAGGTAAGACATGGACATTTCCGAATACGAGGCTGAAATTTGTCATTAATAAACTGTCTCCTGGAATAAACAGATATTCTGATTTGATCACTGTACACTAAATGCCTATGTTAATGGCTAATATGAGTTATACTGTAGCCTACAAATGTCTAACGTATAAGCCAGCCTTTGGCCAGAGTGTATTACAGTCTGAACACATTTAAACACAAAAGAACATTTTATGCTTTTGTCTGTGCCCTTAAGTGAAAAGTACACTGTAGTGTTGTTTACAGATATGACATAAGCATTTACTTATTTTATGTTGCAATAATGAGGCTTATTATCATTATTGACACATTGATATGACAAAATTGTTTTATGCACGTTACTTAGTGTACCTAATCTGTGCATTATAAACTACACTGTCCTTTGATTATGCAATCAAAGCATATATATATATATATATATATATATATATGCAGCTCTCATTCTCTGTTTGTTGATCTGAATTCACACCGATTTACCCTTCATCCAGAGGGTGCATGAGTCACGACCAGCTTGTATGACTATGAGTGAACAACATCAACAGATAATTAAATATGCAAATCAAATGAATACTAGAGTACACATAGCCTCTTTGTATTACAAGTCCACATTATTCGTTCTTCCGTCCCTCTCTTGTACCAGCATTGTGCACAGGGAGATTAAAGTGCATACATGAGTAGCAAAAGTTTCCATTATCCATTTTACCCAACACATTAACACTGCTAAAGTGTTTTCAGCCTCTATCCTATTAGAATTCAGAAGGGCCGAGACTCATAAGGCTTAATTGACTAAGACAACGGCTGGGGGATTTGATTGCACCTTAGCACAAGGAGAAAGGTGCTATATCAATGAGGAATGGAAGCATGTTGCACCTCTCTCTGTTTTGGTTGCCCTGCTGTTATTGAAATGGAGGAGAACTGTTATTCACAAATTGTTAAGGACTGAAAATGTACTCATTTAAAGCTGCTTTGAAACAATTTTGCTGCAATGGACAGATCGATTCAAGTATAACACAAAAAGTCTATGAAATGGTTCTTCATTTGTTCTAAATCACTGTCAGCCTGAGTCACTGCACCCATATGCATTAGTTATATCTGTCTTGCATGAAAGGAAATTATTTGCATATTCATACTAATAATAACTGAGGAAAACGGTGTTGTGACCCTCCTCATCAGCGACTTTTATAATCCTGATATCCTGATTGAACCCATGTTAAATAAGGGAGACCTAAGAAATCTGCTTTAATGTCTATTTATTTACCAATTATGCTTGCCTAGATAGATAAAAGGTCTGTGTTTCTGTATGTTGGTCTGATGCATATTTTATTTAACCACAGTCATTTCAGTTTTACTTGTTTTTAGAAGGTAAACAGCCTATTTTAAAATCATACAGTTTATCTCTGCCTACAGTATACGGATGCTATTCAAACTCTCATTTAGACCTGACCTTGACAAATGATATTTGAACACTTAACAACTGTTTCTACAGATGTAAATGAACAACTGTACACATAACACCATAGTCATAATAAATAGCTAAATAGTGTTTGCCGTGATCACCGTTTTAAAAAGATGTTTCCAGTTTGAATTTCTTCTGGAAGGGGCTTTAATAGTAATCTTTCCAACTTCCTGTGATAAGGTTCCACACAAAACACATTCAAGGATCTAAAAAAGAAGATAGAAGAGAAATGCACTGGTGTAAAAGCTTTAGTAGTTTATTGTGAATGACTGAAGGACTCCCTGACCCACCAGACAGTTATTTGTCATTTAGAAGACACTTTTTAAACTGAATTGCTACTGCCTAAATTATTAACTGAATCATGAGCAATTCTACACTTAAATTATTTTAACATAGCAAATTCTGACAAATTGATAGCTCTCTCAAATGAATCTAGACATAACTATGACATCGTCTACAATAATAATGTCATGTGAAATTATGTAAAGATAAACTAAATTAAAATGCTAAATGTCATCTACATGTACCATTAAAAACAAATTAAATGTACCATTAAAAACAGAATCTTATTTTATTTCATCTTTGCTCTGCAAAGTGTAACATTTTATTGCTGTGTCAGTTGCATTACAAGCAGTTCTTTTAATTCAGTGTAAAATTCAGCAAAAAACAATTGAACACTCTTAACTAGAGATTTGCGTAACGACTAATTTCATAAACGTTTGAATGGAAATTTTGCAACCGACTAGTCTGCTTGCTTTGCTTTGCATTATGATCATTGATCATTGTATATTAAACTTAAGCATTCACTTAAGCAACATTATCCATTATAGATATATTTATTCCACATAAGTCAGAATGTTAAGGTATTGTTGTTTGTTACCATGGCAACCACCTGCGTGTCCGTGTATGAAAATTTTCTGTACACATGACGGGTGGCAAAATCACAAGAAAAGCTTCAAGTGTTGACAACTACATTATTTAAGTGTATTCTCTTCGTTAGGATGTTGATATAGCAACTGTTCAAGTGTCAAGTAAGTTTCATTCATAAAGTTTCTCCTTTACTCCCGATATAAAATTTCATATCATATTGCCCCTCCCAACTGGTAGTATAACAAGCCTATAAGCAAGCTTTACTGTTATATACTAGTTTGACATGACAGAAGAAAATGAAGTTTTGTGTAGGCTTTCAAAATACTCCCTCACCTTACTCATCTTCCGAGGGGACATTTCTCTGAACACCACCGCGAGTGACACAGAGAAAACCAACGCATGCACAGGAATGGAATGAGAATTAAAATTCCACAATGATTTTCCACCAATGAAATAGTCCTATACAACCAATTCTAAAACTATATCTGTAAACACAGTTTCTGACCTGTGAGCTACAAACAACAGCATATGCTTGCATGTTTCACAGGCCAAGGCCTGTCTCTTTTTGACAAGAAAGGCTTTAAGGCCATGTGAAATTTCACATTTCCAAGATCCCAATGGCAGTTAGAACCTGAGGGACTTTTTCTTTTCTGTTTTCAATTGCCAGGGTGGTGCAGCCTACAAGCATAGAGTAGCAGAAATGGAAATTAGGTCTGCTGTGACATCCTACTGGCACTAGGAGTTCAGGCAATTTTAGCATGGCCTCATTTTAATTACGAAAAACAACACAAATTAATGCTTTCAGAAGAATAAATGACAAAAAAACAACGAATTGTATTTTAATTAGAAAACAGACACCATAAATAATAAAAACATAATTTAATTCATTTTTAAATATATTTTATTTAAAGATTATTTAATATATTATTTCAAAATGAAATAATATGAACAAATACTGTATATACTTAAATAAATAAAAGCCGTAGCTGTTTTTTGTTGTTGTTCTTTTTGACATTATACAACTTAATTGTTATAGTTAGGACCAGCCTTACATAAGCCACTAATGTACACACTCTTCCGCTACCACTAGTCTATTTCATCACAAATAGACCCTTGTTTTAAATAGGCGGGTTGAGAAATGATGATAGGAGAGGAAGCTAATGTGAGGAATGGATCTGCAGCAGACACATTGTTGAAGATGCAGGTCGAAACTGTCCAGGAATCAATGTACTGAGAGAGAAAGAGAGAGATTGACATTCAAAAGGGAAGGCTCCTAGAATAACTAATCATCAATCTATTCCCTAATTCATAATTTGATCTCGACAGCATCTTTTCATTAGTTAGCTCTGATGGTGTAGTATTATTGCACTGGGAGAATGTGCTCAGTATGCTGACTGTGTTGAAATGCGTATTGAGAATTGAGGGAGCTCAAACAATCTGTCAAGCATGAAGTCAGCATTCCTTGACGCATGATCCTACATTTGACGATCCCCGGAGGCATCGGCACAATCAAATCAAAAGCTCTTGAAATAATCTGCTTTCTACCTGATTGTGTTGCTATTTTAATCACAGATTAATGAGGAGAAGGTAGGAGAGGGCACACCCACCACTGTGACTACATGTCGTTTTCTCCAATCAAAAGAGAGTTTTGACAGGATTGAGATCTGAGTACAATTGATGTGCTCAGTTAAAGAGCATCAATAACCTGCTAGACTATTTAACTTCACATCAGTCGCACATTAAAGAAATATTAGTCTCAGCCTCAGACAGCACACCTACAGACCACCCACTGATCATCTGATGCACACTCCACACAAAACTGGAAAGCAGTTTCTAGATCTGGCAAGGGCTAATCTGATTGGCTGACTTTACACCGTTTGCCGAAGTAAGGACACGCAAGTATGTTTTAATAAGTTCACTATTATTCCAAGTCATGATGCAATGAGCACTTTTGAGGAAAAAGTAATCAATGATTGATTAGTGACATCAAAACCTGAAAGATACAGTTTAAACAAGATTTCGGTCAAACACTTGGCTTTGCAGTAAAGATATTTATGATTAATTGATGACTGATTAATTGTCACTAATAATTTATTGATTAAATCAATCTAGTTAAGCACAATGTGTTTAGTAATCAGGAGCAGATGGTGAAAACACTGCCTTATCATAAATAAAGTCATCGGAAGCTAGAATCCAGCACAGCTTGCACGTTGCATGTCATGACACAAACATCCACTAAAGAAACTAATAAAAAAAAAGAATGTTTGTTTTGTGGTAATACTATTAACAATTGATTGATAGATAATTGACTCTATCCACACTGACTGCCTATTCAAAGGTCTGCCTGTAAGACTAACTACATATTTTCCCCTTCAATTCAATTCTGGATGGCCAGTTGGGCATTTAGGATGGGTCATTGGGCATGTTTTGCCTTTGTAACAAAGATGTCTTCTTTACCTTCATGGGCATATGAACTACCAGGCATGCCCATTCGGCAGGGTTATCAGTGAGTGTCATGGGGCAGCAAAATAAAGTTAATTAAAATCTGTCTGATAACCACATTTTATCAGTTAGGTGGAGAGGAATGCAACATGATGACTTTTTTGTAATCGGAGAGAAAAAAGCTCTCAGACTGACAATGTACAGTCACTCACTACTCAGTTGCAAAACTCTTCAATCTGTAATTTTTAAGACATAGCCCCCAATAAGAGTCTTCACAGATCAACTGTAGCTTAAGCCACTCTTGGTGCCACAGACATCATTGTGTTATCTGCATGGATGCCTTTCCATTGCCCAGCACCTGTCCATTGTGGCAGTTCGGTCTTATTAAACTTTTCCTCTGCATTTGCTCAATAGTCCATGTCTTTTCCCCTCTCTCCCTCACTTCTCTCTCCTCTCACTCCTCCTACAGCTCACGGCCTATTGAACACATTAGCACCTGTCACATCAGTCCAGGCAAGGTCATCGCTCCTTCCCTTCATTCTCCATCCGGCTGTTAAACACTGAGTCCCGGCGCTCTGCTCTTCAACAATGGAGAGCCTAAGTGAGCTTCAGAACCCTCTTCTAGATAAAAACAGCAAGCATATGGTTATGGCCGACTATGGTTATGGTGGCGACTTCCACAGCAACCAGTATCAGGAGAACATTATAAACTACTTTGTGACTGGTGGAGGAGGTGGAGGAGGAGGTGGCGGCGGAGGTGGGGTTGCGGTCACAGGAGGAAACGGCAAGGCTAAAGCCCAGCTATTGGACGCCACCTCGCTTCACCTGGCGGTGGAGGCCTTTTACAAGCCTAACTTCATCCTTTACAAGGACGATGTGAGCAGCAAGGGCAAGGATTACAAAAACGAGTGCTGCGAGACCACCTTCATGGAGAAGAAAGACAAGGACGTAGCGGTGGAGACCCCCAGTACGGAGGACCCGCAGGCTAAACTGCTGGACGAAAACGAGGTGAAAATCCAGACTGTGTCTTATGAGGTGGAGGAAGAGGAATATGTTGAATATGAGGTAAGTTTGCATTTTAAAAGTTTCTTTGAAGACGCTGAGCCGAACTCATGTGGTTTTGTATGGCTGGATTAATTCATCAGGTCCTTGACAGGTGGCCTTAAAGCATCGCAGCTCAAGGGAACACCAGTTTCTAGTTATAGCCTACACTACAATATAAGACCCTTTTTGGAAAGGCTTCACATTTCAAAAAGCTGTCCTCCAAAGGTTTAATTTTCTATTTGGAGGTTGAAATTGCTGTAAAACATCACTTTATGCTCTAGCAACATCTGCTGGCTCTACTGGATCATGTGTGACAACTACCACTTCAATTTCTCAGCAGATAGGCAAGGGCTAATGAGAGGGGCTGGGCAATGATCAGTGCTGCTGATAGGATGTAATGGTGCTGGATGGGGGTTCGTCACCCTCGACGCTCAGTCAGAGGAATATGTATTCTGGTCATGTCCAGGATTCTGAGCCTTTCAGCGTCTCACAATGGATGTAGCTCCATGCTGGGCAGCACCGGTACTCGCTGCGAATGTCTGTCTGATGATATTAAAGACATTCTCCGCGTGTGGGGCTCTGGACCTCTGCGGCCCATATGGTGTGGTCTGTCTTCACGACATGTTCTGTGGCTTACAGAACATTAGAAAACCTACAAATTAATTAAATCTCAAAAATGTAAGGCAAGCAACAGCTTATATCTGCATATAATGTGAACAGAACCAAACTGAATGACTAAATAAATAAAAAAAATACAATATTAAAAACAAAAATCCATTGTTTTTAAATGCTACAAGTATAGACATCGCAACAATTTACACAATAAAAAATGGATCTCTATTACAGTTTATAAAACAAAATAGAAGAAATTAGCATGCACAGTTAAATATAAAGTATCGACTGATGCCAGTAAATTTTCCGCAAAATTATACAGATTTTCCCTCAAAAAGCACAGATGTGAATGTAAATAAACAATCTGGGCCTGAGTTATGTCAAGTAAAAGTCATTACAGTGAGCATGTGTGAAATCAGAACGATTCATGTGAATGGCTAATGATTCATCCGGTTCACACAGTCTTTATATCTGATAATAGGATATTCATGAGCATCCTTTGAGAGATATTTCTACAGTGCATTAGTAACATCCCTGTGACATTGAGGCTTGTGTTTCTCATTTGTATTCTATAGCTTTAAGATCCCTCTGTTCTTCCTCTGTGGCAATGATAAAGTGAACGCGGGAGCTTGCCTCTAGAGACACCTCTGTTGTTCCCATTCTTGTTCTTTATTCTGAGTGTTGTGAAATATATTTTGTGTGTAACAGAAAAGTGTGAACTGTGCCTTCCCACTCTTGGAGAGTGCACACAAATCTGTCGGAGCTTCTCGTTTGAAGGGGGATTGACGGCAGATCTTGGTTAGCCAACATCCTCTAGTAGAAAAGAGCCACTAATGGTCCTAGTGTTTTTGTTTGGAAGTCACAGGATGTCATGAAAGCAGTATTTGATGGCTTTAAAGCCAATTTAGTTCCTTCTCAGATTGAATCGTCTGTTAGAAAGAATGCGCAAAGGATAAATTATCCAGAAAGGATTATTTGTTGCATCGCCTTGAATGGCGAAGTGCCTAAATGTCTTAATTGAGATTTTAAGAGATTCTCATCAGTGGATAATAACTTAAGAATCCTCAATGAGCCTCCTTTAAATGAAAAGATGATGACAATGATTATGTTGATGGAGATTGCCATGCTCATTATCCCTGTTGGTTTTTGATAAGCTGAACTTAAATGGTATAGGAATCTTTATCTATGTAATCTTTTAGAAATCTCAAAATGAATATCCATTTTTTAGATATTATAAACATACATTTCATACATTTTAGCACAATGTGTTTTGAATATGTAGGCTAATATTGGCCATAACATGAAAATAATTGTCAGCTTATCAGTGTTGGGCAGAATTTTTATATTGGTTTTAATATTGGCTTTAATTGCATACTAAGCCACATGCTGAGACCAATGGAATGCTGTGATGAAAAATGTCACTCACATGTAATAGAAATACAGATACTACTTAAATTTAATGGATTATAACTGATAAATTACACAAAAATCTCAAATTAAACATGTACAGTATGAAAATAATAGTATGATAAATAATAATGAATAATATTATAATAATGGATATTTATTTTAGATTTGCTAAAGAATACATGTAACAGTGTTTTTAACTTTAAGTGAGCATTAGATGACAGCGATCTAAATATAAAAATAGGGAAAATGAGCATGAACAATGAAATGTCCAATATAATCTGCCATACCAATAATTGAAAAAAAAACTCGAAAGCCGATAACCAATATTATAGCAATATATTGTGCATCCCTAGTGAGTAAATACCCTCTTTTATAATTATTTGTACCATTTAAAGGTCTGTGTATCTGTGGGTTTATTTCCATCATTGGGTCTTTTTATTCCAATTTAGTATATGTTTTCAATATGATCAATTGCAGATGGCTTAAAGCCGGTGTGCTCTTGATGACTGGAAATCTGCACCGTTGAACTTTATAGTAAATGTAATGTCGTTTGTTTTATTTCGCCACCCATTTGATAACATCTGCCATCACACACCATCTGTGTTACTGTGCTGTCAAATAAATAAGTTTCTTCCAGCTGTTAGAGCATTATATATGGGCAAAGTTTTCAGAGAATGTCCAAATGTCCAATTGATCAAACTTATAGAACATCCAATAAATAGTTTATCTCTCAAATTCGAGAACATTTCTGTTCCGAGAGCTGTTTACCACCAATTGCCACAGGGAAACATTTCTGTCAGTTGTGGAGATGTTTAAATTGAATTTACTAGGCATAGAAAACTTTTTACTTGGATGATTGACAGCAAAAAAAAAAAAAAAAAAAGCAGAAAAGGCACTGGGTTTTTTCTGTGTACAGTTGTATACTGTCAAACTGTCTTAATTTCTCTCTCTCTCCCTTGCTAACAAACTCTCAGCTGAAATGTGGCTTCACAAATATGTCCTTTATGACAGAAAGAAAGATGAATAAGTTATTCAACCCCTAATCATATTCCGCTGAAGCTGTGATGCACCTGCACTTTCTTTCCAGAATGCCGGATGCCAGTCTTAAAGGGATAGTTCACTTTGAAATTAATTTTTGATATGTTTTAGCTTACCTCAAGGGCATCCAAGATGTAGGTGTCTTTGTGTCCACAGTATTTTCAATTTTGATATTTTTAGGTCAAACCGTTCTTGTCTGTCAGTCATCATCTGGGTGGTGATGGCGCAGTGGCGCAGTCTGAGAGACCCGGGTTCGAATCCACTGCAAGACACCAATGTGTCCCTGAGCAAGACACTTAACCCCTAGTTGCTCCAGAGGCGTGCGACCTCTGACATATATAGCAATTGTAAGTCGCTTTGGATAAAAGCGTCAGCTAAATGAATAAATGTAAATGTAAATGTATATACAGGTAATGAAGGTCTATGGGGTCCACCTCAAAGAGCATGCACAGAGAAGTCCAAATTAAACATGATTTAATGACTCGTAAATGTAAGTACACATTCTAGTTCCTAAGACACGAAACGAGCGGTTTGTGTGAGAAAACGAACACTATTTATATAGTTTTTACCTCTTGTAAACACAGCCACGTCCAAGTGATCTGAGGGCGCGGGCGCTTCGGTCTTTTCCGGAAAGCACCAGAAGTGATCTCTCGCGCGTGTACGTGCGTATACATTTGTGAATTCGAGACTTAGCTGGGTATCAGCTAAAATAATCTAAAATAATAATTATAAATTCAAATACTGCTATCAGTTATTTTTATTCTACAAAAAATTCAAACAATTTGATCATAATATTATTAATAATATTAAATAATTTACCAAAAGCATAAAAAATGTAAGATCACAGCTGGATTATAAAGGCTCCATCTGACACAACATTTTTTGATTTACTGAAACCAACATGTTTCGCTATGTGGAAAAAAAAAACTGATCTTATCATTAAAATCTGGTTGTACTGGTTCTACTTATGTTTCTACTCAGAGCCAAGCGCAACCATTACATTGAACGGTGCTTCTCTTATGCTGCTCTCTAGCCTAAATAAAAAGCTCCGGCACCAGGCAATTAATTAGTCTTTAAATTATTAAGACCCACAGAACTCTGTCAACACTAACCCATTCTTAATCTCATTACTGCTACATTGTGGGCGAGAGGGTACTCCGAGTTCCCAGGTGATCAAAGGCTATTTACACAGATTGAAGATAAATGAGCTTGCTGTGTACTCCACAGAAAATTAATTTATCATAACTGCTGATGGATAGGTAAGCAAGAGTAAACATCGCAAAATGTATTACTGTACTAATGTATCTCTGTCAGGAGGTTGCAGATATCAATTACAAGAGTTTATCCCAAGCTTCAATATCAAATCGAGCCAAAGTACCCATAAATTACTAATATAGCCTTGAGCTTTTAACAAAAGATATTCATTTAGCCTCTATCCTCAAGCATCAGGTAAAACAGCCGATTCTGGAAACAGAAAAGTAATGCATTTGAAAATATAGTTTGGAAAAAATTTGGTACAGAATTATTATTCTTTTCACTATTATCATGCACACATGTCATCCTGATTATTTGCTCAGTGGTTGAGAATCCCATTGTGGTCCTTGAACACGGGTCATGCCATACGCAAGTGTGGTCCTGGGGTCTATAAATCAGCCGGGCTTATTAACAGCTCAGTAAGTCAGTATGTTTTATTTGTCTGGCGTGCGCTAGACGTTAATCAAACCCCCTGATGAATTATATCCTCATGACCCGTGCCTGAAATGCTGCCAGCACCTGGCAGGACACAACTTAACTCCTCTCTGCCATGAGACTACCGCTTATAATCTCTGAACAGTCCCATTAAAAATGTATGCAGCTGTTTTCAGCAACGCCATGACACCTGCCGGGACAATGACCTCCCAATGACATCTCTGATGCAGTTACTTGCCCCTTTGTACGAATATAATTGCCTCGGAGAGCTT